CGACCAATCAATTGTCCGTCCCGGGACACACCCAGCTCCGAACTCAGCCATCCGAAAAGAATCGATGCAAAAGACGAAGCGAGGGTACTGATGCAATTTCCCATCCATCCTAATCTCCCGTAATTGGCCCAACCTTCCCAGCTTAGGACCCCTCATCGCAATCGCGCGGAAATTCGCGCGCTACAGAAAGTGGTTCGTCGCATCCCCTCCGGTGCACTCCCCCTACAAACATAAGCAGTCTCTGCTCAGTTCCGATCGGCGAGATCAACGGGCTATCTCTAGGTGGTTGGCGCCAAGCATGCCCAGAAAGGTACATGAGGCCAAATGGAATTGAACCCGTGACATCCTGACTGCCACTGCAGTGCTTTACCAACTGAGCTAGGCCGCTGGATATTCCTGCATCCGTCATGCATTCCAAGCATGAACATGGTGGGATCAACCCCCGGCTGTTTTCGCCTGGATAGAACAGTCGGTCATTATCACAGAAGCGGGACTGAGAGTTGAATCAATACAGCGATAATGCCGACGCATTCTCTTTGGGTGAACACGATAGGCCAGAAATCAGGAGGACAACATGCAAGGCCTTGTCCCACTGAAAATTGAACATCCCTTTATGATGCTTTCATTTATCAATGAAAGCCCTGTTGCCATGTCCGTAAGCCCCTTGCTTTCCACCCTCAAGTCTCTTTTTTTCCCTCCTCCGCCTCCTCCTCCTCCTCTCTGATGGGTTATTCAAATTATGAGTCATGCGGTTGTACAAATGAATCGACCTTGAGCCACATATTCAACACTTAAAAATACCACATTAGATTTTTCTACGTTTAACCCCCCCTCCCCCCCCAATTACCTTCATGATTACACAGGGGTGAGGTCCCACTTGCACGGATGGATTCAACCACTAATACACGGCCCCAACCTTGCAAGATTTCTTCATCACCTATTCCAAAACTTTTGGAGGCTCAAGGCTACCAGACCACAATGGCTGGCAGCGCCAGCCAAAAAAAAAAGTGTGCGGCTAGTGGTCGACAAAGCTTGCGCAGTGTGGCACCGCCAGGCTATGGTGTACTGGTGGTTCACCTAATCCTAACCATTGATCTTTGTATCTCCGGCTAATATCTCTTAATCCATGAAGTGCATGTCAGTGGAAGTTGGTCCCTGGTTATCAATCAGGGCATACTCACACCAGAACTTTCCTAGATGAATCTGACTGCAATTACGACAGTGTCTCAGTGTATCTGACGACAATTACATCCAGAGCTCAGTCAAAAAAATCCTAGTTTGAGTATGCCCCGGGTCTTCTTCTCTTTCTTTAAAAAAAAAAAAACATCGGTCTGGGATGCTATAAGGGTTGATAAGAGCATCCTTCAGGGGCACCCCCGCCAAATGCCTCATGTGGTGGGTAGCAACCCCTGCTGGAGACCGGGTCTAGTGTCCCTCACAGAATTTGATAAAAACTGTACAACACTGGGGTCCGGCTTCGGCTATAGATGAAACCGTCTATCCTACTGGAGAGATGTTTAACAACATATTTACAGATCACTTCCAACCGCTTCAACAATGTATTAGGTACTTGAATGGGAGGATCTGAAATTCGTTTCAGAAGCTTTAGCCACTTCCAAGTCATTACAGCAGTTTCAAGTCCCCACCCGAAACTCCTAAAATGACCTGAAGTGGCTGAAAATTTAAAAGTGGTTTTAAATCCCCCCTACCAAGTAGTTGGATGGGGTACCTGAAACCCCTTTCAGAAGCTTCAACCACTTCAGGTCTTTACTGCGGTTTCAGGTTCATACTTGAAATTCCTGAAATGACCTGAAGTGGGTGAAAATCCGAAAGCGGTTTCAGGTCCTCCATCCAAATGGTTGGATAAAGGTACTTGAAACCCCTTTCAGAAGCTTCGGCCACTTCAGGTCATTATAAGGGTTTCAGGTGAAGTGGCTGAAAATCTGAAAGCGGTTTCAGATGCCCCCATCCAACCATTTAGGTGGGGGGACGTGAAGCCGCTTTTAGAAGCTTCAACCACTTCAAGTCATTTCAAGTGACACACAACAACATTAAACCAAAACAAAAACAGGCAAAAAACAATAAAAAACATAAAAGTTGACCTCAAACCATTTCAGAATCTTTCATTCTGAAATTTCAGGTGGTCGTCAACTGCTAGTGACCACTACATGACTAAAGAATAGCTGCTGAGAATTGAGAGAGGGAGCCAGGGAAGGGATACCTAGCTGACAAGTTCAAACATTGCTAGGGCATGGGGAGGGAAGGAATCTGGGAAATCTGATGGGGTCGCAGCGCAAAGGCTGCATCTATCTCACTCTAGTCGTTATGACCTCAGCCTGCCTGCCCTTTTTCAGTTGCTTTGTCAACTTCCAACCAGACTACCACAATTTTTCGTTTTCCGCTTCCTGGACCTGTTTACCCAAGTTTTTTGTAGGTAGCAGTGACTCAACTACAGACCAGCCTTCTAAAAAATGCCTGCTGGTAAATGTGGGGCTGCTGAAGGGGTGGTATCGCCCGTTGAGAAAAGGGTGGCAGCACCAGGCAAATCGTCAATAGTGTTGCAGACTTGCAGTTCAGATTTATCAGGACCACTGGACCAGGGGAAAATGGGTGCGGAACAAAAAGTGGCTTAATGACTGCACATCACAAATTGGTAGATAGAGGTCAGGTGACCCTCGTGCGGGGTCGTTGGGAGCCTTGCATTGCAGCCGACTCTTTATTCACCTACTCGTCACGTTATGCACTCATAAAACAAACAAGAAGAACAAGAATAGTGACAAGTAGTGGCCAAACATGCCCTTTCCACACACTCTTGTCGAAGTATGTCTTAACAACGACAAGTACAAGTCAAGCCTCAGCAATGCTTGCACACTTTCACAAAAAACAAGAAAGAACAAATCAGAATCAGAAGAATTGATTTGAAGTAGCGAGGCCAGCACTATGCGTCCATGTCCAGGACATAGGAAAATCAGCACCCACACGGACAATAACAGCTCAACACGCACATTCCCCGACGCCTGGCTGCACACCAGACTCATCAGGGGGCTTCCTCTCTCCCACATCCACCTTCGCGTAAAAGAATCACCAGAAGAAGAAGAGGAAAAAGAGTGACAAGAAGAAGAAGAAGAAGATGACGACGACGAATAATAAGAAGAAGAAAACGACAATGACGAAGAAGAAGAAGAAAAAGAAGAAGAAGAAGAAGAAGAAGAAGAAGAGTGACAAGAAGAAGAAGAAGAAGAAGAAGAAGAAGAAGAAGAAGAAGAAAATGAGGATTAGGATGAGGATGAGGATGAAGAAGAAGGACCACAAGCAATGGCCAACATGCTTTCGAGCAAGCTCACAATACAACATCGTATGTCCACAGTTTTGACGAGTTGTGCTCCAGTCTCGTCAGTGCGCACACCACAGGGCCCGTCTTCCAGCTCCACCTCTTATTCCATCCAAGGAGGAGAAGAAGAAAACAGAAGAGGACCACCAGGTGAAAATCCCTCCTTACTCGTTGATGCTCACATTGAAATTCTGTCTTGGACTGTGCCACCATGACTGTGTTTTCGCTGCAGATTTCTCACATGTCAAGATTTTTCTGCTCAAAATTGGACGGAGAAGGGAGAAAGAAAACCATCCTTCGGAACATCCGATAAAATTGGAAGGATGCAGAGAAGATTAGCATGGCCCCTGTGAAAGGATGACACACATAAACCGAAAAATGGTACAAAAAGAAAAAAGAGGGAAGGAGGGGGAGAACTGTCGACCAGAGCTATGAACCAGATGTGTCCCAAGCCTAGGTCCACGTCTATACACATGTCTACCACGTCTCTATCTGTGTCTCAGATTCGGTCGTCCTCATGTGGTCCAGATCTGTGTCCTGGTTCTCAAGCCTAGATCTGTCCCATACATGTGCCCCATACCTGTGTGTCACAGACCTGTGTCCCAGACCTGCCTCCTGGACCTGTGTCCCACACCTGTGTTTCACATCTCTGTTCCAGATTTGTGTCCTGCTTTCCTGGTCTAGACTGTGTCCCACACCTGTGTCCAGGTTTTCTGGTCCAGGCTGGGTCCCAGTCCTGTGTCCCAGACCTGTGTCCATGTTTTCTGGTCCAGGCTGTGTCCCAGTCCTGTGTTCCAGTCCTGTGTCCCACCCGTGTCCCAGACCTGTGTCCCAGACCTGTTTAACAAGACCTGTGTCCCACACCTGTGTTCAGATTTGTGACCTGGTTTTCTGGTCCAGACCTGATTGCCCCACACCTGTGTTCCACACGGTCCTGTGTTCCTCCTTTTTTTTGGGGGGGGGGGTGGACGGGTATCCCAGGTAATGCCCATCCCATATAAGCATTTTCGGGAGGTTTTGCTTTATTTTGTTGTTGTCTCTTAACTCCATCATCACTTCCCTTTTTCATTTCTTCACCTCTTCCTCTTTCCAGAGCTTTACAAGATCCACAAGTTTAGATCTGCCTGTCAGAGCTGTGTTTACATACATACACTGTTATTCTGTTTAGTACCAGATGCGTTTACACGTTATCAAAAGACTGTCTTGAATCAACTGACGAAATACTCTGCTCGGATCCCGCCCGCAAACATGACTATTACCACTTGCATACTCCCAAGTAGACCTCCTTCTATCCCCCGATTCCACGAGAAGATCTGCATGGAATCATTTCAGCGATCTCTCTCTCTCTCTCTCTCTCTCTCTCTCTCTCTCTCTCTCTCTCTCTCTCTCTCTCTCTCTCTCTCTC